GTGTTGTCATGTCTGTAATTTCTGGTGCATGTGTTCCTTTCACTGCCTGTATTTTGTTAATCATAAGAGAGAGCAACTTGTACTTCTGAGTGTGCATTGTGTATTTGTTACACATTGAAAGAAACTGGATTAGATTTTCGTGACAAACACATTAAGAAAATCATAGCTGAAGTCTCGATACTTTTGGTATGCCCTTCGTATTACCTCCAAGGGGGCGCCAAGCCCCTGACTGACTGAATGTGTTGTTGCATCTGTAATTTCTGGTGCATGTGTTCTTTTCACTGCCTGTATTTTGTATTAAGAAAATTATAGTCAGAGTCTCGATACTTTTGGTACGCACCTCGTAATTTCCCCACCTGATATCGCTAGGGTAGGGTATGGTGCCCCTGTGCTGTTGCCTTGCCCCCTCAGCCAAATTACACCACTGCCTTTAGGCTGTTGGTTTGGGTACAGACCCATATCGTTGTGATGAAGCTAGTTTAGTGAGGCATTCCATTTGAGAGAGAGAGAGCAGTTTTATTTTTTAAAGGAACACATGACAGGCTGATTCAACAACCATGAAAAAAAAAATTAAATAAATCAAGTAATATTTTGTTGCATCCCAACTCAGTCATCCAGGGCGAACCTAATTCAGTTCAATGAATAGCCTTATTGCCCACTATTTGCATTTGCATTCTATTTCTTTCTCTTCCTTTTTCCAATACTTTTTTTTGTTGGGTATTGTCTATTTTTTGTCTCATTCTCTACCCTCATCTTTTGTTCTTGTAAATATATGGAAATATATTCTATTCTATTCTACATATACTAAAAGAAAGACAGCAGTTTAAAACTAGTAATACATGCAAACTAGGTGAATTTTGAAGGAAAGAGAATAATAAAAGTGAATGGAGAAGGGAATAGTGCTGCTTCGATTTTAGGGCTTGCCAAAAAGCCAGTGGCTTGTCATGAGTTGGTTTTATATTATCAAGTGCAAATTAGTAGGTCAGTGTTTTTTGTATTTTTAATGGAGATGTATTAAATCTGATTTAAAAAAAAAAAGAAAGTGGTCCTTTAGTTTGGTTTTAAACTTCTTAAGACATGGAATTTCTTTAAGTGCCAAGGGTAGCTGATTATATTTTCTCACAGAAATTGCATTAATTGACCTGTAACCCTAGTTTATTCAGGATTAAATAATGCACCAAATTTTGTTGAGTAGAATGTCTTGTTTCATGCCAATGTAAATCTTTAGCTAACCGAGTTGTGCTTGCTGTTGTATAGCATGTGGTGCATCTATGATCATGGAAGAGTTGCAGACAAAGTGCATAATTCCCAAGATTTGGAAATGAAGGACACTGTCAATTGTTGTAATGAGATTTTGTTGATGCCTTTGGATGTATGTAACTCATTATACATACACATTGTCCCAAAAAAATGTAGAACCTTTTTCAATTTTTAGCCTCTTGTAATTGGTTCAGGCTATTGCTGTGTGCCTTTGTGGGCTGACTAATGTATCAAATGAACACATGCATGCAAAGTTATAACAATATCCATTCACTGGTTCTTGAGATACAGGAAGTGATTCAGAGCATGCCAGCAGTAAGGCAGTGCCACCAGAACTGTATGGGTGCATTAGCCCTAATTCAGTATTGTACCTCATAACAGGATGGCTGATATGATGCACACAACCAAGATAACTGCATTAATCTTTCCTGTTTGACACTCAGATGAGGTGCTTGAAGTGCCTGCTGTTTCAATCTGTGAACAGGACATTGATCAATACCCAAACACTGCATGGTTCACATTCTCCTGCGATGGGGGAATGGTCAATTCTCTCTGGCTGGCTGTGCTCGCGCCAAATTTGGCCAGTGGCAATGGTCAACTGCAACCTTAGAATAAGCTGCTACATCTCCAAAATGAAGCAATGGATTTTGATACAACTTTGTGGGCATGTGCTCATTTGATGTCTTAGTCAGCCCTCAAAAGCACACAGTGGTAGTCTGAACCAATTACAAGAAGCTACTAATTCAAAGGGGTTCTAACATTTTTTGGGACCGAGTGTAATTATCCACATGCAATTTCCAATGAAAGTGGTTATCAAGTATTACACCTAGGTATTTGGCATGATCTGTTTCCTTTAACACATGACTATTTATTAATAGCTGAAAATTCATAGTTTTTTTTGTGAGGGCCTTGAAGTATTTCAAAATTATGGAAAGAAGGATCGAAGTAGAAGATTCTGGTTTTAGCATATATTTATTTTCACGATACCTGATTTACTCTGAAACATTGTTCCAGGGCAAATCAGGTATGGTGTATGGCAAGGCATATGGCACATAAGAATGAAGAGCAGGAGCTGGTATATTTTTCTTCATGAGTGGTAGTGGCCACCTTCAGTCACTTTCCTACACCATCTCTAGGTTGATTTATACTATGGGAATGATGGGGCTTTCCAGATATTGAGTGATCCTTAGAGCATGTTAGTGAGTATACTTGCATGAAAGCTAATTAGGACCCTCCATTGACCATCTATGTGTGTGAGCACATGCAAGTAATAAAATTTCCTTCTGTGTGAATGCACAAGAGAGTGAATGGTCCTGCAAGTAACTTTCATTCAACTGATTACATGTGTAAGCTGTGCTTTTCATGGGGATTCATATAATGAATCTAGAGAATTTGCAGCATTGCTCAGAATGCATGAACAAGAACAGGAATGAAAGTCGATGAGCCTTAACATTTGAGAGTCTACAATATCATGATGAAAACAGAAATGCAGATGTAAAGGAAAGTGGGAGAGGCATAGCATCCTCTCTTGCATGTGTTTGTAATGTAATTGATGAATCATCCTCTCCCTGTATTTAATCCTGAACTGTGGATGAGACTTGGCTATCGCAGACAAGGTTCCTGGAGACACTTCTGTCACGATGAGCTTAAATTGAGAGCAGACTGCTAACTTGATCGAGACTCGTATGATAGGTGGACAAGTTATACTGATGTTTGCAAGCCACTATGGCATCTCATTTCCTTCATTCTCCCAACATGAATCATACCAGACAATATGTGAAACAGCCACATATTTAGTCAGTCTAATATGTAGGAGGGCATGTATCAAGGGTGGCCAAACTATGGCTTGTGAGCTGCATGCAGCTCCTATGCCCTTCTTAAAAAGAGGATCCACTACATTAGTTTGGCAGTTTGTTGTTGACTCCTCTTCCCTGTTCAAGTTGTTGTTGGTCTAACATTGAAGCCTAGGCTAATAGGCATAGGCTGTTTGCTGAAACATAAACTGAAACTGAAACTCCAATACTTGTTTTAAATCCATACTTATTATTTATGACAACAGGTAGCAGGTCCAAGAAGGATGCTGAAGAGAATGCCAGTGATGATGAAACAGACAGTCACAGCATAGCTAGTCATGCATCTGACAAGAGCTTCATGTCTGTGCCTCCAGAAGATGGTGAGTCTTTTAGTTCTAATGTAAAAGTGCAAACTAACCAAGAGCAAGCAGAGAATGGATAAGGAGGGCATAGTGGAGTGACTGAATCCCAAGGGTTTTGATGATGAAGTGGAAGCATAACTGACCAGCAATCAAGAGGCCTTGGTTCAATACCCAGCTGTTCTCCAGTTTTCTTTTGCTTTCTCATGCCTTCCTACCCTTTCCCTAAACTTAGTAGCCATCTATGTTACACTGGATCTAATATGTGCTAAATTATTACTATGCGACAAGTTTCAACAGATAATACAGGAAAATTTTCAGAGCATTGGGAAAGTAACTACTTTCAAACTGAATATTTTGGAAACAATGGTGGTGTTGAACAAGGTAAGGTGTTATATTCTATATTAATTATCCTAAGGAGACTCAAAAACTGCTAATGTTGCCCAATAGTATTGATTAACCCTTCCACTTTTATGCAATAAAATATCTATCTCCCCTTTGTCATAAAAATTGGGACTGTTTACCTGAAAACAATGGTTTATGTTTAAAATGTCATATCATGAAAGCTATTGAACATAGCTGTTACATGCATAAATAGCAGTGAAATAACCTGGAAACTGAATGGTCAGAACCCAAGAACATACTTGGGCTACCATTACATGTGCCCAAATATGTACTTGGCAAACAGTGAAAGGGTTATGGCTACTCAGTTGGATGGCAGTTTTGAAAATGGATGCACTGACCTTGAACCATCCAAATAGAACCATCAGCAAGTATTTTATCATTGGTAAATGGGAAGATGGAACTGGAACAGCCTCAGAAAATGGCATCAGGGCAGGTAGAGAGCCAAGTATAATCTTTTTTATCAGCTTTCTCCTAAACTTAAGTCTAATGGAGTTACAGGCTAGAAGCCAACATATATCTCCAGATGTGACTTCACTTGAATAAATGGTAAAAACCTGCTTGCCAGAAATTTGCTCTTATCCATCAGTCTACCCATTATAATCCCTGACTGAACTTATGAGATCTTTCCCCACCTCAAACCCCCACTCAATGGCTCCCTCAAATCCTTATCCCCCAAGTCACACCCATAAGGATATCAAGACTCTCAGGGCCTCCAGAACCCAGCACTCCCTAGACCCTCCCTGGGAAACATTGCAATGGTCATTAAATCCCCCTAACTCTAGTATTGCATGCCACCTAGTCAATAAACACAAGAGACCCCTGTCACATTCAAGTCCCTTAAATCCCTATAAGTTCCAATCCCCCTGACAGGTGACAACTGGTCCATCCATTGGGCCCCTCAGACCCAATATGACCTGCTATCACCCAAATAGCTCTGTACCTTGAACATCAGATCAGTTCACCTTGAATCCCCCCAAAATACTCCCTATTCAATTAATTAAATTAATACTTCCAGCGTTTACTTAGCATTGAACCCACCACTCACACCCCTCCCTCTCACAACTTCTATCTACCCAACAAGCTAGCTATTGAATCTGCTCCTATTAGGGAACTTTAAGTTAAGCAAGCTCTCTCCTTGCTTAAAAATAAAAATTTGTGTGGAACTGATGAGATCAGCTCCAGACTTCTTCATTTCTCTGCCCCAAGTATTACCTCACCTCTAACTGCCCTTTTTAATTTATCCCTTTTCACAGCTAAGCTTCCCACCATTTGGAAAACAGCAAATGTGGTCCCCCACCTAAATCTGGTCCTAAAAACCTCCTTAAAAACTAGACCCATTGCCCTCATCTCCAATGTGTGTAAAGTAATGGAAAAAATCATAACCAACTGCATCACAGATCATGTCCATGAACTTGGCTTATTGCGCAACAACCAGTTTAGATTCATGCTAGGCAGATCAGCCTTAGATCAACTAAGCCAGCTTTGGCACACCATCTCATCTGCCTATGATGACCCAATGGTTCGTAGAATCAACATGTGCACCCTAGACATCTGTAAAGCTTTTGATCAAGTACCCCATTCTATATCACTCCATAAATTAGACCATCTCTATGGCATAAGGGGGCCCATCCTTGAATGGATTAAGTCCTTCCTGGTTGGTCAAACTCAACATGTTATGTATCTAAATAACACCTCAAACATGCTTGACGTTCTCTCTGGAGTGCCACAAGGATCAATCTTAGGCCCTTTCCTCTTTTGTCCTTTACATAAATGATCTTCTGGAGGGCTTCAACTCCCTGTCTTCTCTATGCTGATGACTCCTTACTCATCAAGGCCATTAGAAATGCCCCAATGAGGTCTCTTTCCAGTCTGACCGTAGCAAACTGGAGACCTGGTGCTAAATATATATTTTTTAAAACTCACGTCATCTCATAATACAAGAATTCAGCCATAGACTCCATGCCCCAGTACTCTATTGCTGATGAAAACTTACCACATCCAACTCTCATAAGCAACTTGGAATCCTCTTGTCCAATAATCTCTTCTGGAATGATCACACAAACCTAATTAGTTCTAAATCAGCTAAGCTCCTCAGAGTGATCTCCTTCACCTTCCAAGATTGCGATATGTCCACTCTCTGCAAGTTGTATATTGGATTGGTTCATCCCCACCTTGACTTTGGTGCCCCTGCCTGGATGCCATATACATTAAAACTCATAATTAAACCCAAGTGCATGCAGCACATAGCTACTCCCCACATCTTGAAAGGTAACAAACTTAACTACCTCCATACCCCTACACACCTGAGAATCTTAAACTTAATGTCTCTAGAGAATCGTCAGAAGTTTTTAGCTATCTCCTGCCTGAAGAGTCTGTACTCATGTAATAATTTTTATCCCCTAAAACTCGGCTACCTCTCAATTAATGCTTGTAGACAGTCCTCCCTAGCTTTCAAATTGAATGAATTTTTTCTCTTGGGGTCCTTTCCCTCCTTCCTTTCTTCCCCAATCCCTCTCTTAGTGCCACATTTCTCTGTGTCCTTTGCTATGCTTGTGTGATTGAATATGTCAATTTTTACTATTCATCGTGCAGAAAGAAGTTCTTATTACTGATAGATATTCATTATTTTTTCAATTAAATATTTTTTCATTGTTAATATTTTTAATTTCCCTTGTTTATCTGAATCCATTTTGAAATTTCTTCTGTCCTTTGCATATAAGTTATTCTTGAAGATTTTTCAATGATTGGAGTCCAAAGTCAATTTGCCAGCTGTTATTGCCATTATCTTAAAGAGGCCACATTGTTGGTGTAGATTTGTTAGCACTTAGATTGCAAAGCTAAATTTTCAATAAGGTGAATAGTCATTGGCCTGAGGCCAAATTAACCTACTGGCTAAACTGCTTGTCCAGTTTCATTCATCTCTTCCCTGAAATGATGTTCATGCTGAAGCTGTGCTGAGGTTGTCAGACTTTTTTTTGTAAGGTGGGATGCAGTCTCAGGAGGACACAGTATATGTATGAAAGCCATGGACTGTGACCACAAAAGTACAGAACATAAGTGCGTATCCAGCATATGACCTGCCAGCAGGTCATATGCTGGATTCCTCTGCTCCTCTCCACCCTTTAAATTTGCAATGTATGATTTTATGCTATATTCTGGAAGCCTATGATTAGTCTAGAACACTGTCTTTCCTTTTTTCATCTCTCTGGTTTTAAGGGAAAATGTGTATTTGTGGGAGAAAAAGCCTCTGTCAAGGCTTTCATATATGAGGAAAGTTCTTCATATAATGAAGGTGATTTTTTATTAAAGGGAAAGGGGATGTAGATTCATGTTCTAACTAAAAAATATCAAGGTTTTTAGAAAGATAAAGTAATTTTACAGTGTGAAAGGATGGTAGGAAGACAGATGAGATGAAAAAATATTCACAAAAATATGACTTACCAAGTCTTAACACTGCCCCCCATGTTAAATATCCACTGCAAAAGATACAAAATAACAGGTAGATGAATATTGTCAAAATGCCTATCCATATTTATCCTTGAAATCATCAGTAGGGGTCATTTTATTGAAGAAAAGTACATTATGTCAAAGGGACAAATAAACAAAAAAAAATCAGGAACTCAACAATTTACAAATATACAGTCTATGTATTGCAATTCATCATGTCTAGGCTGGTGCTACTGGTTGTTTTGCTTATAATCAAGCAAAAAGCACGTCTTGACACAGATGTGGTCTGTTGGTGCATCCTATGCAAACATAACTGGAGCAATAATGTTTTCTGGGACTGCTGCACTGCACACAGTCACGTTCCTTTCCTTCAAACTTCACAAGATGTCTGGCTCCAACCATCCTCTCCACTTCATTCCCTTTTTTCCCATGCTTGGAATTCTTTGTTCGACAGTGGATGATATCTTTGGGTGTCACTTGTGCAACTTCGTTTGTGAGACTTTCGATGAGGGTTTTGCTTGAAAACTTGCAGGCTCACTTTCTTCATCGCCGCACTTTGCTGGCATAAACTGTGGAGGGTGTAGGCATTTACTTGGGTCACTTTGATGATCCAATGGTAGACTTTCGTCCACCACTTCTGGGTTTTTGCAATGATGCATGCTGTAGTACTCTACCATTTGATCCATGCAATCACAGCCATTCATCGACATGTTGTAGTCATCTAAAACCTTTGGCTTCATGACTTTGTTTTCTCCTGCTCCCTTTTCAATCGTTTGCACTGCAGCTTTTGTTGAAACCAGCACCCATGGCTTTTTCACCTTTTTGTCCCTCCAGGCAACACTGTTATGTTTCCCAAGTCCAAAAACCACATCATCTGTTGATGGCCAAGTTTCAGCCCTTTCACTTCTGCAAGAAAGCAGACACAATTAACATTGTCAAAAGAGTGTTAAAAACTTTGATGGCATGAGCAGAATCGGGTCAAGTCAGGGTTGTAGGCTGTATCCTTTCCGATGTAGATTTTCAAATTGAAAACATAGCCTGTCACAGAATCCCAGAGTCCAAAAGTTTTGATGTGGTACATTCAGGGCTTGCTTGCATTGAACTGCTTGTGCTTGAATCTGCCTTTCCACCCTATAACCATCTCATCAATGCACACATTTTCATTTGGGTAGAAGGCAGCCTGGAACTTCTCCAAATAACTTATCCACAAACAGCTCAATCTTGGCTTTGTCTTCAGCATCCGGTTCACAGACATGAAGCATGCTGTAGTAGGTTATTTCAAATCTGTCCCAAGAAAACATCTGATGGTACCAGGGTGTGTACAGATATCCAGTAGTCCCTGATCTTGGGTTGAGGGTCCAAACCCATAGCAATCAAAACTGACGTAAACTTCAGCCATTCATAGTATGTAACCGGTGTCCAAGAGGCAAAGGATGATTGCTTTGTTCTTGGGTTGTTCTTCTCAAAAACCTTTGCTGCATATGCATTGACGCTAGCAATCAGGGTGGCCTCAATTTCTTTGTCATGGGAAGCTTTGAGGAAATTGAGTGGTGCATGGCTTTCATTCAAATCTTGTTTCATATTTCATCATGTTTTATGGAATGAAAAGTTCACATCTGTCTCTCCATCTGCAATTACTCTCCATGCTACTTCATTTTCACCATTCTCAAAATCTCCTCCTGACCCCAACAGCTGTCCTTTTCCTCTTGTTAGGTCTAAACGCAGCCCCTGCTTTTCCTTTCATCATAGTAGCACCACTGGCCTTTTGCTTGCCTTTTCTTTTTTTTACTCACACCTGAAGGTCCAGCCACAGGACAGTCCTCTCTCTCATTTTCACTGGAACTATCAGAGTCTGATTCCTCACTTGAAAAATCATTGTCAACATCATCATCATGATCACTGGAAATAAAGTCCTTTTCCTGGCTTAGAAGTTCCTCAAATAACTTCTAGCTTGTTCTGAGGTAAAGTGTAATGCTTGCGGTCGTCTGGTGTGGCCAGTAGTATTACTCGTACGTCGCTGTACTGTACGCCGCCCGCAAACTACCTTGACCGTCGCAAAACAAGAAATTAAATTTAAAAAAAGGATATTAGAAATTGTCCCTTTGGGATGGTTCGTATTAGTCGGACGGAATCAGTGGCCGTTAGACAATGATTCCAACAGACTGGGTTTCACACAGGATTTCATTATTCTAATCTAGGCTTTCATCAACAAAGTACCCATAATGAGACTGTACAAGATCCTTCTCAGCACAACTTCACAATTGACAGCTTTCACTTTAAAGGCGAATGAACAAAAAATGAAAGAATATTTAACCCTCCTATGAACAAGAAATGATTCAGCTCACCCCCTCGATGCAGCACTTTCATGAGGTCTCGTGATTTGTTCAATCATGGCTAAACAATGAAACTGGAAGGGGTTGCTTGGGCTCCAACCCTCTGCACACTCACAATCCGATTCTGGCCTTGCTATTTCTATATGTCCCTTCTGGCTCCAACCAGCAAGGAACAGAATATGGCCCCAACCAGATCCACCCAAGCCCAGCTACAACCAGCGCTTAGGCACCTCGGCTCCAACCGAGTAGAAATAGCAGGGCTCTGATTTACCAACAGGGACCCTAACCCGGTGCCTGATGATAGCAGCAGCAGCAGCAGCAGTGAAGTCCAGAACCCTTCACCAACTTCTACCTCCTCTCACTCTCCACCCTCCAAGTCGAGATTTAATACTCTTCTCCCTGACTGTCCATGTCACAGTAATCTCAGACGCTGAATGGTCAGAAAGCTGGAAGGATGTTACCGAAAATGGATTCAGGAGATTTGGGGAAAAGTGGTTGATCTCTGATCCCTCTTGACAGCGGAATCGCGACAAAGCCATAGATTTCACTAAGGCCGCCAGTCTATCCTAATTTTCTGTGACTCTCCTTTGTTCGTGATGAAAGGACACGTGTAGAGGAGAAGTAGCAATTAATTTCAACCCCTTCGGACTGTAGCCTGGCGCATTACTGGGGGGGGGGGGGGGGCGGTAAGTCATGGCAGACGCTACAAAAGCAACATGGCCTACCAGAAGTAATGGACGTGGGCATCCTTGTTTCAAAATAGGGGTTCATAAATCGCTGAAAGCATGTCTTTCTTCTATCGAATTGGCACTCATTTTGAAGATATTTAGTTAGCAGAAGTACTTCTAGTTTTATATTGACTGTATATGATGTTTAAAATCTGTGATTGCTCATAAAATGGAATGAAACTTACAAGCTGATATATCGGCAGCTCATCCAAATGGGAAATTGAGTGTGCCAATATATCAGCTGCTTGGAGACAAAGAGTTAAGAAGATAGTGTATTGCTGTTGGCAACTAAATTTCAGCTAGCAGGAGGAGCTTGTACTCTTGTCAGCCAAGCTAAAAACAATGGCTTAGCAAGATAGCATGTTGTTAACCTCATGAAAACTAAGGGATTGCAGACTGTATATGCTGCATATGATTGTATGTAATTGTATATGCTGTATACTTCAGTCTCTCTGAGATTATCTTTTAATATGCAGCTCATGGTGGGCTGTAGCAAAGTTTTTCTTCATTTATATGAAAATACTTTGTACATACCATCATTCCCCAAAATAATATTTGCAGCTGAGGGAGAAGAAGATGGAGCAGCAGAGACAGGAGGGGATGGGGAAGGCCCAGACCCACAAATGGAAGTATTTGAAGAGCGTCTTAAAGAAGCCATTGATGGAATGACCCAGAAATCGTCAAAGGGAAGAGTTGACAGTCTTGTGGCCATTATGCAGGCTCTTCGAGCCAAGCTTATCCCAGACTTCATCTTTGAAAGGTTTGCTTCTTTTGTTTATATGGTGACTGCTCTCCAGAGTGCAATCAATAACTTTTAACATTATCCCATCCATGTTTAAATTGAGTAGCTTCTTGGCTGGGCAGTTTCAAGCCAACAGGCTAATAAGGTTACCTATCTGCTACCATAGCAGCTGGTCATTGTGTCACACATCTCCCACACCACTGACTTGGCCAACCAGAAGTCCTGACCTCAACACTTGTGATAATTCACTTTGGGAGTACATAAAGGAAATTGCAACCAAACAGCACTACCAGATGACTGATGAAAAGAAAGATGCCATCCTTCATGCATTCACAACAATTACACCAGCAATGCTGTGAAGAATGTCTCCCAGAATGTGGTGATGCATTATCTTATGATGAGACAATGATGGAGCTCACACAGATTCTTTGAATGATTTATAAGGAGATGTGAAGAAACTGGGAAGAAACTTCTGGGCCACCCTTTACATGCAAACTCACTGGGGTGTTCTATACTTATCATGCAAAACTTTATGCAAAATTGAAAATTATTAAATTATTTTTGTCAAAAGGTATGTGCTTGCATTGCTGCTTGGTGGTTGTCCCAGTACTGTGCAGTGCATCAGGCTGCTCTGTTTGAGAATGAGATGATTTTTCAGCATCCATATAAGAGACCCAATTCAGCATTTCAGTTTAATTAGAAGAAAATAACTCTTCCATGAAACTTAAGAGCCATTTCCAGTTGGGACAGTATGAATGCAACTATGATGTACACATGCTGCTTGCATCATATAGAGTTTCAAATAATATCCAATGAAAAACAATCAAAACTAGACTGCACAGACAGATCCACATGGCCTTCATTGATGAAATCTGTTCTGCCTCACTATTGGGGAAACATAGGAATAAAAGAGCATCTTACTGTTCTTTGGAGAAGCATTTTGAGGTTTAGATTCCTTTGGTACAACTAGTTGAGTTGAATGTACTCTAGTATGCTTGGAAATGAAAAATTTGTCTTTTCTGAGGAACAAGCAGAAATTGAGGGGTCACACAGTCAGGTTTTCAATTTGTCTGATTCCCTGAACTTGGGGTTAATGAGAGTTGATGGTATTAAAGTTAGGAGAAGCCATAAAGGTTGGAGCTTTGCTATGGCTTTCCCCCATGGAGGGTGAGAACCCCAGATACACCTCTAGCTTTAGGTTGGAATTGTCCAATCTCAAAGACTGGTAAAGAATGCAGTCTTTTAGAATCTGGAGCTGGTTGATCACATCAGTTTGCACTTCTATGCATAAAGTATTGAAAATATACTGTGACATAGTGGAAGTCGGCAATCTCCATATCAGGAATTTCCTTGCTTTCAGCTCTTTAATTTTCCCCAGTTTCTATTTCCAAAACTTGTCATTTTGGCTTTTTTCTTGGAAGACACATGACGTTGTGTGATGGAGTAGAGCGGGGTTTGAAGAAAGGTAAGGGTCCAGAACAAGGTGCAAGTGCAGATCTTCTAGTCCTCATCTTGATCCAGTTGGGGCTGTGCCCCGAGGCTGAGAACATATTCAGATCTATCCAGCCTGTCCTCCTCACCCTAATGGCTGATTCTTCTGCTTCCCTATTGGCAAGGGCCAAGGTATTCCAGATTGGATGAGATTTCTTCTCTCTTTTCCATTTCTTTGAAACTGACTGACTACTAAATAGACATTCCATACTGTGACAAACAGGTGTGCACTGCTTTGGGATTGGTGACATTCCTTGCAGCAGAGGAAAAAGATGAAACTCAAGCATCAATTACAACTCTGGCAAAGGTTTTCAGTCAGGCATTTCTGAAAGGGGATGGAATGCCACCTGCAGTGACATCAGAGCAAGGAGCATTGTATGCCTCTGCACTTTCTGCATGGGCACTCCTAATCACACTCTTGCCAGCAACTGCAGTCTTTGCCCTTCTTGACTTGTAAGTCACTGTGTTTACATGTCTGGAGAATACTTCAACTTGAAATTGTATGTATTGATAATTTCCTATGTATACATGATTTATTTCAGGCATCTCCCAGAGTTACTGGCGTGCCCTGAACTTGAAGTACGAGTAACTTGTGGAGAAACACTGGCCTTGTGTTATGAAATTCTGCGTGAAAATGATGAAGAGTTTGAACTAGAATGTCACAGTGCCTTATGCTCAACTTTGAAGGAGTTAGCCACGGATTCAAGCAAATTCCGTGCCAAGAAAGAACGCAAGCAACAGCGTTCTTCCTTTAGAGAGATCTTGCGGACCATCCAGGTGGGCTGATTTGTTATCTTAAAATCCGAACAGGATTTGTTTCCTTGAAATACTTATTTGCAATTCTCTGAATCCAGTTTCGATAGATTGGGTAACTTGGGGTAATATGGCCCTTCACAATGAATCCCCTTACAGACTGAATAACTAGTTTGGGTGAATTTAAAAAATAGTTTTATCAAAGAGTACATGCAATTGTCGAAATGTTTAGACCTTTTCATTGATCCAGTTCAGAAATTTGGGATGCATCAATGTCTTGAATGCATGCAATTCTTTGACTCACAACCCTGAAACTAATATGAGTCTTGAGCAACATAAGTGTATGTTTCCTAATAACAGCATGGATACAGAAACGATTTCTTCAAAGTTCTTCTACGGTCTCTCCAGAATGCTTGTGCAAAGTGCTAGCCCCTTCACTTGCCATTTGCAGACACTGTTGTCAACTTTGTCATGCAAGCCAATATGGGGAATATGGCCATCTCATATTGGGATAATATGGACACATCCTGCATTTCATGTAAGCACTGCACTGACCTATTGATGGTCACCTTCCTTTCGTGTGGGATCTGAGGCTGCAAAAGATCATCTAATGCACTTCCTCTGGATATATGGATAGACGTACTGGACATCTGGATGAAATATGCAGTACATGAGGTGGCCATGCAAGAGGATATACTCGTGCACCTCCTCCTGGACATCCGCATCACTTGACATTCTCCAGAATTCCTGTTATTTTACACTTGTGGGGCATGTTCACTTTAATCTATGCTTCATCACTTCTCTTACACTCTATATATAGTCTCCCAATCATGTGCAATGTTACTCAGAAGCAAAAGTGTTGCAATCCTATTTCCCACAACGGTTTGTGGCTTCTTTGTCCTCAATGCAGTTAGTTTCTTTTTCAACTGTTGAGAGTCCTATATTATGTTTCAAGGTACTCAGCATGTTCCAGCATATTTCACACCTTCCTAAAACACCTGGAGTTGTTTTTTCAGAAGTGGCCATATTCCCCCAACTATAGGGCTAATATGGCATCTTGGAACCAACTTGAAAAAGATCCAAAGGTGCCATGTCCATGGGGTTTTGTGATTAGGCCTTGCTGAGATTTAGTAGAGGAGATATCAATCAGTATTTTTGAGACATTGTAAAAGTCAAATTTGACCTTGATGGGCTGTGATGACCAGGTTTCATTTTATAGGGCCATATTCCCCAAATTACCTTATATGGTAGCTATTCCTACCCTAAGTGTAGTAGGCCTTTCCCAAGTAAAGAAGATTCGTGCTGCTTTCATCATAATGAAACTGATCAGAAACATTATCATCATGATTACTCTCATCATTATTATGCATGATGATTCCATTGAAATGGGTCTGTTTTATCTTGAATTGCACTCTTATTGCCAGGAAAGAGAGAGCCCCTGCATCCGAGTGAGATTTGGCCGAGAAGTTCTGGAACTTGACTCATGGAGGAGAAGGTTGCAATACGATAACTTATGCACTCTTCTTGGGTCAGGAATGAATCTTCATCTGAGTCAGAATGAGCTTGTTCGAGATATCTTCAACCTTGGTGCCCCTCTTCCCACCAATAACCTTCATGCAGCCCATAAAGTCACCAAACTGGAAAGAGTAAGTTTCATTCTTTCCTGCTGAATTGCTTCTGCTTGTTTATTACTCCGTATTATTTTTCATAATCTGTTTCTAGCATCTTGTGCATTTGGCTGCATTCAAGGCAAGAACTGTGTCCAGGAGCAAATTTCGAGACAAGAGGTCGGTTGTGCTTTGAAGATGGCTCTCCTCTAGGTGCAGATTCTTTGTAATATTATGCATCTTTCTAAGGAATGAATAAGATCTATTTCTTGGAAGTCATTGTATGGTGGTTTCAGTTCCTCCATGCCACAGGTACGAACAGGATCTTTTATTGGTTAAGGGCCATGAAAATAACTATTGGTGCAACCAGGACTTTTCAATGTGGTAGTTCAGGCTATTGCATTGGACCAGGGAAGAGAGGAGTGGGGGAGGGGGTTGCAGGAGCAGAAGCTTCCCAAAAAGCGGTGAGTTGTAGTTGGTTAACAGGAGCACACCTCACCACCAAATGGTGGAGTGGCTAAGTACTGAATGAAAATGAAGGTAGTTGCTACTATACCTGTGTCTCTATTGAGGAGGTTTTTTTTTCATTTAGATTTTGGATAACAGGCTATCAAAAAATGCAGACCATTCTTTTGGAAGGTAAATCCTCAGGTTAAGTAATGTGTAATTCTGCAGGAGTGACCAGTAAGTTTCTATTTCAGAATTGGTAAATGCTGTACAGTAAACATAAGACTATTGGCTCTAATAAGACATGGCCAAGAAATGAACATGAGTTGCAGGCAAGCCTACATTAGAAGTTGGACTCCATTTTCCTCTAGATTTTGTAGCAACTTGTGCTGAAATTGAGTACTCATCCTGGAACCAAGAGAGATGCTGTCCTAGTTACCACATTCAAGGGAACATGATGTTAGAGAAAGCAGGAGAGAACATGAAAATGGCATCCATTGTGCAATTAATACATTTAATAAGTTTTATTTCAAAATGGTTGGCATCATGTTTGTGATGTACCAGTACTTGGAAAAAGTTTAATAAATGATCTACTTCTCAAATCGAAGTCAATAGTCAGTGACTGAATTACAATGAACCAAAGTAAAAGGAAAACCATGGATTGTGAGGAATAGATTCTTTTGGAACTTGTGGGGGAGCAGCATCAACTCTAAATGCATGACAGGTCATAAGATGTAAGCTGATCCTGACACCAAGTTTCTCCTGAGTCGCACTTCATTTCTTGCAATAATCTAGAAGGCATATTCTGTGAATTAGTTTGGTGTCAGCTCATGTGTTATGACCCCATCCTTGCAAAAAAGGGAAACAAATGCAGAGGGAAGGATGACCTTTGTCACTTCCTTGGCTACAGTTGTGTCAAACAATTCTGCCGGACTGCTTTTCCAATTTCTAATTTCTTTTGCCTGTGGGATTTAAATTTATAAAATAATCAGCTGTAACTTTTTCTTTTTCCTCCCTTTTTTCCCTTGAAGCCCATCTCCATTGGAACTGCATAAAAAAAAAGTACTTTCCCTATGAAGACAATGTGATTCTTGTAAGATACAAGGGGGTGAGATGACATGGCTGAAGTGACAGTGTTGGAGAAAGATGTGAATGAGATGCAGCTTGCTCAGGATGAAATAACTCATCTTGAGAGGAGATGGAGCCAAGATGATGAGCTTCTTCATGGGAGTAAGGAATGGAGGGATGTTGTGAAGCATGTCTTCATCTTGAGCGAAGCTGGAAAACCTATTTACTCGAGGTGACTGCCTTTGGTGACGTAGGCTATGCATTCATTCCATATCATATTAAATACTTGGTTTTGTGGTGTTTCCAAGCAGACATTTTTCAGAGGAGAAGCTGGTGAGCCTGTTTGGAGTGATGCAAGCACTGGTGTCTTGTGTCTCTGACTCAGAGGATCCTAATGAGTTGGAAAGCATTCAAGCTGGAGGTCATTTGTTTGTCTTTCTTCGTCGTAGTCCTCTCATTCTTGTGGCAGTATCTCAGGCTGGGCATTCTCTGCCATTTTTATGCATCCAACTGGAGTGAGTCATCCATATTTATCTCCTCAGTGTTAGCTGATTATTGGTTACAATATGATTGCAATGGGTGACATTTTGCATTCATAGGTATTTATACAATCAGGTTGTGAGTGTACTGACATGCAACCAGCTGGAAGGGATCTATAGGCAGAGAAAGAACTATGACCTTCGTCGCTTGTTGGGGGGAGCAGAAAGCTTATTGAATCGGTTGCTGGACTTCACAGATGATGCACCAGATGTTCTCTTAGGAGCAGTGCGCTGCCTCAAACTTCGGCCTGCTTCTATCCGAGATGCCATCTCCAATGCTTTGCTTTCTCATTGTTCAAAGCTCAGAGTTAGTTCCATGATAGATGCCTCATATAATATCACCTCTTTGTGATACATACACACATTCCATCAATTTCATAGACATTGGTGTATGGTGTGTTGCTTGCAAGGGAAGAGGTTATTGGGATGGTGAGGATGAAGAGATGCCAACTCCATCCTGGAGACATTCATCTCCTTTTGAATCTGGTTCGATCCAATGAATCCTTCCAGAATGGGGAATCCTGGGCTCCCATTTGCTTGCCTCATTTTGACCCAATGTGAGTTTCCTAAATAGGATTCATTTCTTTCTGTTTCACCCTATTTATTTAATTCCTTTTTGTCTGGAAATAGGGGATTTCTTTATTGTTATGTCTCATACTTGAGTGAAGACTGCCGTGCCATTCTCCTCCTCCTCACAACAGACAGGGATATGTTTTTCCCTCTGTCTGACACACGCTGTCGAATTGTTGAGGTCAGTATCTCACTGTGTGCCTCTGTCTCTTATGAAGGGGTTGACCAGGATTTTTTTCTCCTGTTATAAGCAGAGTCTTCGAAAGGGGAAATATTTAGAGAAGATCAATGAAGCAATGGAGAATGGAGGGTATGAGATGAAGGATGTTGATGCATCTGTTGGAGGAATTGAGCATTTCCTGTACAAGCATCGAGGAAGCAGTCAATATACGTGCTCAACTTTCCCTCAACATCTCTCTTGGAAGAGAATCTATCCACTTTATCAGACTCTTCATCAACGGATACATTCCCCAACTCGGCCCCTCAAACTCCTTTACTTGACAGGAGAGACTGAATGCATACTTGCATGGGTTTGTCACTTCTCACTTTAGATCCATAGTTGCTTTTAAAGAAGATGAGAGTCAACTTTCATGGTTACTATAGTATACTTCCTACCTTGGTGGGAGGAAAGCTGAGCTAGAGCTTCTCTGAAGATTAAAATCAGAATCACACTGTGCTTTGGCTGTACAAGCAATGATGTCATCTTTCAATTGCCCCACCCCAAAAGTTTTGTATTGTGCTAAGTAGCTCCTTTGCCTACTGCTGACCTCTAGCCAACATATTGTCTGGTTGTGCCCATGGTGCAGAATGGCCAATACAAATTTTAATCCTCATGAAAGATGTTGATGTTTATGCATGAAATTTGAAATCATCATTCTTTTATTTTTTCAAGGTCTCTCTATCCTTGAAGTTTCATCCATTTTTTCTTTTACCAGTGTTTGTTCAGATCTGAAAGTACATTTTTGAGTGTCCACCAAGCATACAGACTGACCTAAAACAAAAGAACAGAACCAGTTTCAGTAATTGGTACTGCAGGACTTGACTCAACCATGCTACTGTGTCTTTTTGAGTCTTTGGCCTTTTAGAGGTCTTACATTCTTGTTCTGATAATAAAAGTGCTAAATATCCAAAACTTGCAGACTGATCTTGAGCAAAGCCTACAGGACCAGTTCCAGTGAATTCCAGTACCAGAGGTACTGTTGAAAAAATTTCACTCAGATGGTATGGGATGCATTTGTGATATTTTAAGTAGGGCTGTCACGATAGCCGTTTTCAAAACATTGATGCATCGACCTAAACTATCGATAGTGTATCGATGCATTGGGGGGGGGGGGGGGGGGGTGCGCCGGAGGATTCCATCTTTCCTCACCGCGATCGGCGCATGGACCTCTATCCGGCTTCTATTATCTCACGCTTGTGATCGGGTGCAAGGGGAATGTGTGACCTTTGCAAAGAATAATGATGGGGGGGGGGGGGGGGGGGGGGGGCGGAGGATTCCATCTTTTCTCGCCGCGATCGGAGCGTGGACCTCTATCCGGCTTCCATAATCTCATGCTTGTGATCCGATGTGCAAGGGGAAGGTGTGACCTTCGCAAAGAGTAATGAAACCAACCATGCTATCCATCAACCATATCACACATGCAACCAACCATCGAAGATGACATCCACCCATCAATGGATGCATCAGGGCAGCCCTAATTTTCTTCGTTCTACACTGTCTTTGAACATCAGCGCCGGCAGATAGGAAACCTGCCGATGGTGCCAAACCGGCGGTTGCCGAAACATCGGTAAAACCCTAGAATAAGTAACATCCACATTCACTTTGATTTCACCTCTGGTAGAAAAACGCCCCAAGTATAAAACGCCCTAAGGCAAGTTAAGAATTAAGAAAATTAAGCCTGCATACTAAAGTGATAGACAAGAATATAGAGAGAGGATTAACCAATGTCCGTTTTGAAATGAAGTGAGTATAAGAACAGTCCACTTCTGCAGCATGCACCTCATGAGATCGAGCCGGAGACTGAAACTGATGTTATAAAAAAAATAATATTCTCAGTCTTCCCCCCTCGCCTTTCCCACTTCTCCAATCAGACTTTTTTTTTTCCCTTCCCGTCTTTCATATAGTCAGTCCCAGCATTTCCGGAATTTAATTGTGATAAGAAATCGCAAGCCCATTTGGGTCACACCGCTTCTTCCTTTCCCCGCCGGGACGGACTGTATTGAACTGTACTTGCCTCAATCCAATGGGACATTTCCCCTTTAAAATCTTTTGCCGATACATCGCGATGGTCTAAAAAACTATCGATATCTCCAACTATCGATAGCGGTATCGATGCATCGACCTATCGTGACAGCCCTAATATTAAGTATTGACAAAGTACTGAACATACCAATGAAATATTCACATTATCCTAATTGAAGCCAATTGACTTCTGTCCCAAAGTATTTATATCCCAAAATTAAGAATTTTTGACTGCCATGTTTTGGTTGGATCAGTAATATTGAGTGTGTCCCAACATGCTTCCATTTCCATGAAATTTTATCATAACATTCCACATTTTGGATGTGTCTCATCATCAGAGGACCCCCCCTCCTTCCCTTCCTCCATTAGCTTGCATGCCAATTTTATGTGAGCCCTATCATAAAGCATTGAAATAAGACATGCCATTTGAAGGTGACAATAGGGATGATTTTCAGCCAGGTCTATGCATTCAAGTGATATGCACTATTTGAATTTGGAACACTCCTTTGAATAGGATGTAAATTCAAGGATGCCTCTTGCCACAGATCCCCTGGAGCTCTGCAAGGGATGCAGATCAACTTGATTGGATCAACCTGACCAGCAGAATGAGCTTATAGCTTGATTGGTAATCAGGTTAGATGAGGGCAGAGACTTCATCAGACACACAGCACTATAGCTTAGAGGCCTAAATTGGGTCTGGGTTGATCTGGTTGACTCACATTTATTGTTTAGGCCCATAAAGTTCAGTTGGCTAGCAAGTTTCCATGATACATGAAATGATCCCCACACTCTAGACCAGGGGGGCACAACTCAAAAGACTGTGAGGGTCACTTAGAATTTTTACTTGATTACTGCTGGCTGCCATCTAACTGACTATAGCTGTGGCCAACAGGGCAGAAGCCATAGTAGCACTTAAAATGCCACCAGTCATGGCAGGCCATATGTTGTGCACCCCTGCTCTAGACAGTTTGCAAGCCAGCATCAGCAACATGATTTCTGACATCTGGCAAGCAATGTTGCAGGTTATATCTGAAAGCATTCTTTGCCATGCACACTTGTATATTGAACATGGTGGTGGTCAATTTCAGCATCTGTTGTGATCCTGACTTGGCATTGTCTAGACTATATTGCCACCGAATATCATGCTTCCCAGATTAAAACTTTCACTCTAATCTGCATTTGTGTGATTTTACTAATAAAACAAACACCCTGTATAGGATGTGAGGTAACAATGTACTTTCACCCAATCTCAAAAGCCTTGTAAATTGTGGTCTCAGTCTAGAAATTCTGAGCATAAATACAAGGGTGAAATTTCACATTTGTGGGAAACTTTTTGTCTCAAAAAGTACCATATGTTAAAGGGGTCAAGGTAATTTTCAAGTGTTCTAAGAATTATGAGTTCATGATTTTCTTTTCTATCTCATTCAGGAAACAGGAGAATTCGAAGCATACATAACATTTGGTTGCCTTGTGCAGCGTTCACAAGCCATAGCAGCTGTGAACAACCTCCTGAAATGGATCAAAAGTCAAGAGTCCTCCCTGTTTCTACTCAATCTACCCACATTTTGAGTGTATCTATTCACTTTGATCTCAACTGGATCAAGCAGAATCATATTAAAACTTTATTCTGCCTGTCATGTGTTATTTCATTCAATTGTTTCCCAAATCTCCTGAATCCTGTGTCAAGGTTTTTCAACATTTTGAATATCGGTTCTGTTCTTAATAAAGCAGAATAATAAAGGCAGCTAGGTAAATAATGGTATCAAGAAAACCCATGCTCTATTTTCAAAAGAAAAACAACATTGAAAATTATTTTCAAACCGACTTCAGAAAACACTAAATTGAAATGAAAAATTACATGCTAGGTAGTCAGGATTCAGGAGGGTAAATCAGGTGTTGATTATTACCTTACCCCAGTTGTTTTCTGGATCAACTGGAGGCAGAATTTCAATGCCTCAATTCTCAGGTATAGTGGATATACACAGCTAAAAAAAATTGAAGGATGTCAAATACTATATGTTTTAATAGTCCAAGTTGGGAAATTTTGTAATATATGTTAATAATCATGTAATTGAAATAAGTCATGAAACAGGTTTGTAGGTACATTGGCAGGTCAATTCCCAGGAGTTATAAATTGCCTGTAATTCTCCTCTGACAGCAACTAACAGCCTGATAACAGCTCTTCAGGAAGAATGGATAAAAAAAACACGTGGAGAATTAATTGACATATTGATCAAAAGTATGCCACAGCAGTGTCAAGCTGTTATTAGTGTTTGTGGTGATCATACTCCTTAATAGGTTGGTAATTTTTTTTTTAGTGCTTATTTGCAATTTTGAATTCTTCTACAGACTCCATTTTATAACCCCTGGGAAACTGACCTACTGCCATACCTGCCATATTCCTAAGAACCTGTTTTATGACTTATTTCAATTACATGACTAATGAACCATTATTATCACCAATTTTCCAATTGTTTACTATTAAAGCACTTAGAACTTGAAATTTCCTTTACATATTTTGAACAGTGTAGTTGCATGTGTTGGCCTTCTATATTAATTGGGAAATAAAGGTATTGCATGCTGGGTAATTTGGATAATAAGAAACAGAAGAAAGGAAGCTGTCATGAAATGCAACTATTCAGTTTTCGATTTCTATCCATTATAGCTCTAAATTCTTATAAATGAGCTCTTTCCTTAACAAATTTGTACCTTCGCTACTTATGAGGACAGTAATGCTAATATACTGCTCTCCAAAAGTCTTGCAACTCTTTTTCTTGATCATAATTCTCAGCACCTACATCTGCAAAAATGTTTATATCCTCAGACAGCTTAATCTGTTACCTTTGCTTATGTCATGGTTTGTGCCATTGTTTTTCCAAAATATGCCTCAGGGTCTGTCTAGTTTGGTTTTTCAGCATGGAACAATTAAAACCCATCCCCAACTGATTGTTGGAAAGCCTACTTCTCTTCCTGCATGCCATGTGAGATGCATGTTTTCTCCATGCACCTTAAGGAAAAGACTCCTGTCAGTGTCCTCCAAAACTCTTGCTGGTATATTCATGATACAAGATCTTGGTATCTACTCTTGGTTACTACTCAGTTTGCAGGTAATGATTAACCCTTACAGGCACTTTTTTCTTGCTGGTATTTTCATGATACAAAGTCTCTGTAACTAAGGCATCAAGAGAGACAATTATTTTTTTCAGGTAACTTATTCTCTTAGCTGCACTAAGCAGCCTTTACCATCAGGGTTTCAGCTACCATATCCCAAATTTTTCATGGATACAATCTGGTTCAGAATTTCTACATGGAACAATGACAGAAGCATCACCCAGTCCCCATTCATGATCCTGGCAAGCCCAAGGAGTAAACATGGTGTCTTAATACACTGGAGAATTGTTTCCTATCATTTCAAAGCTGTCTGGTCATTTCGGGCTTTTTCTTGCCATCTTGGCATCAATTTCTCGGTTGTGAGTAGGACTATTAACTCATTCAGGCATCAATCAGTCTGTCAGATGGCCTGAATGGGTTGACAGAAATGGTGATTTTAGCAACAAAAAAAGGTGCCTGAAAGGGTTAATCATTATCTGCAAACTGAGTAGTAACCAAGAGTAGATGCCAAGATCTTGTATCATGAATATACCAGCAAGAGTTTTGGAGGACACTGACAGGAGTCTTTTCCTTAAGGTGCATGGAGAAAACATGCTTCTCACATGGCATGCAGGAAGAGAAGTAGGCTTTCCAACAATCGGTTGGGGATGGGTTTTAATTGTTCCATGCTGAAAAACCAAACTAGACAGATCCTGAGGCAAATTTTGGAAAAACAATGGCACAAACCATGACATGAGCAAAGGTAACAGATTAAGCTGTCTGAGGATATAAAAATGTTCACAGATGCTATAGGTGCAGAGAATTTTGATCATGAAAAAGGGTTGCAAGACTTTTGGAGGGCAGTATATTTGAATTCCAAATTCGATTTATTTCTTGGTTTTGCTCCTACACCCCCCTCAAAGGGAAGAAGTTTCACATTTTTTCCTGAAGAATCATTTCTCTCATTTGAGATCATTCAGGGACACTTGAAGTATTTTGTGTCCTTTCTAGGTGCAGGAAGTATTAAGTGAGCAACATGGCTGAAGATGCAGAACAGGTTAGGTCTGAATCTGCTTTCTTTTGCATTTTGATTCTTCTCATGTAGAATCCTTTCTTATTTCTCTCCCATGCTTTTACCTACAAGATTATCCTTCTGAGGAATGATCTATCTGAGTAGATAATCCTGGGGGTAAATGTACTATAGAGTGAGTCTCAAATAAAAAAAACAAGTATGGCACTTCATTTTGTTATTTACTGGAGAACAAGTATCTAGTGATGAAGAATGGACAGACACCTACCCAATGTCCAACTCTGGAAAAGAAAATGTTTCACAATTGCATTCACCATTTTGAAAAGCAGCTGATGAACATAAACATGACTGATCACTGTCCTTATTCAAAAATCATTGATAGCATTCCACTTTTGGATGATCTTCCCTCACTGATCCCACAGCTTCTGGGGGATGATGTTCCCCATGCTTCATTATCACAAGATGTAAATATGACTTATTGCATGACCAAGTTTCTGGCTTTCTGAAGTTTCGTTCTTTCCTTGGCCTTTCTGGAACAAAGAGCCTTTTCTGATATCTTTCTGACAACTGTGTCTTTCTTGCATTAGCACATATCAGACTTGATTGAACCTGAAATATGGCCTCTGAACATCCCTGATTTTAAAAGCCTTTCAAATTAATTTGTTGATGGACAAGATGGCCATAGCCATCAGCCTTCTGTGGGATGACAGTAATACTCATTCATGCATCTGTTAGTACTAGGTAAGTGGGAACACATATGGGAGATAATTGACTTGACTTTAAATGTTATCATAGCTGAGCCCACTTGAAATACAGTAGTGTGTTTTTTGGGATCTCAAGCCAAAATCCAGGTGTCTACCAACATGTTAAGCAGTCTAAGGTACACTTGAAGCAGTTAACAGAAAAATCAACCTCATAATCTGTGGATCTGCTGGTGGAGATCACCCAAGAGTCAAATGCTATCTCCCAGCAGTATTGGACAAGGCTAGAAACAGCAGCAACCATATGGACCATATCATGTCCATGACTTTGCCAAAAAGTTATAGCATTCAAATGTATCATTCTTTAGTGGGTTCTGAATCTTCATGTGAATAAATTATTGAAGGACCCACATTATTTTCTTGGTCCCACCCTATAGAGTAAAACTTGATCATTTATTGTCTTGAGCTGTGGTCACCATAATCATAGCAGCAGTAACTGCCTAAAGGTAATGATACCTTTGTGATTCATGAAACATATTTAAACTCATGGTGGACCAGTGGCAGATACAGAAATTTTTCCATAGAGGGGCAGTTCCTCACTTCCAACCTCCCAACACCTATCACCACCATCTGTTTTATTGTTGTTTTCATTTTTCATCATCTGGGGGAAAAACCTGAATATGTATTTCACAGGCACCAATAAAAAAAATTAATTAATGCTTTTTAAATTAAAAAAATAGAATGTGAACCTGGCCTTACATGGGGTGGTTGCCCCCTCCCCCTCTCTATCTGCCACTGCAATGAACTCCAATCTGTAATTTTTGCTGCAAGAATAATGCTGCATCACTTTTTGTTCATAATTGTGCCCCAACTTTGAAGGATATGTCGCAAAAATAATTCACTGTCCCAAGGGGCTCTCTCAGGAAACAAAATGCAGCTCTGTCCATGGCATTTAACACAGGGTGTTTTAGAGTCTATGATAAGTTGAAACAATAACTTTTTATCCAATGATGATGGAACAAAATAGTGAACTGCTTCACAAAGCCTAATTCTGAAAGTTTTTAAAAAGGACCTATCAGGTCTACACATATCCACTAGAGGTGCCAGTATAGTGTAAGATGATGGTGACAATAGAAGGGAAAAGAGAACTTTGTTTTGTGGTTAGCTAAATTGAAATCAGTTACATCATTGAAACGAAGGTTCAAGACACATTACAACAAAGAATCACCTACCAACACCATAAGAATTGGATGAAGGAGTCCTTAGAGTTCATGATGAGAAACGCTCTGGGAGATCGAACACCAGTTGAGAGACTATAGCAACCATTCAGAAAGCATTTGCAAGAAGCTCATGAAAATTGCTTTGCTGTGCCTCACTTGAAATAAATATTCCAATGTCAAATGTTTGAAAAAATTTTAAAGTGATGCTCGGTGCACATGCCTAGAAAAACCAGGTCTTTCGAGTCTTACCAGAGGATGATTATGATTCTGGGTTGGGGTTCTGTCACCAATTTCAAAGGGAATCTACTGGATTTTGGAACACTTGACATTTTCAGATGAAGCTACGTTTCATCTGAGTGGGAAGGTCAACTGATTATTAAATGTCATTTAAAAAAACTTTTTGAGCTAGGCTTTCTGGAGCAGTTCACTATTTTGTTCCATCTTCTAATGAGTAAAAAGTTAACTTTTTAAATCGGTCAAGGACTTTGAAGCTTTTCTAGGACAAATATGGATGTAAGAAAGTCAAATGTGTTGCTGTGCTGTTTGGAAGTGTCAAAAGCAACATAAGGAAGGTCAAATGTGTCACTGCTGGATGCCAGACTTTAGGGAAAAGCTTGTTCGACATAAGAAAGTCAAATGTGACAGTAGTGATATTGTGATGTAAACTATGATACTCTCAAAATCAAACTGTGATTTCATGGCAAATATAGTCCAGGATGCAATTTGAACTTCTCATGCAAGTTTTTCGATGACCTGATATCCTGATGGGAAGAGGAACTCTGAATCCATATCATGAGTCTCGTATTTCAATTGCATGAGAAGTTTGATTTCTTTCCATGAATCTTGGATTCCATTGGATACTACCTCTCTCTCTCTCTACTCTCATGGATTGAAATCAAACATTGTTTGCATGGTAAATGAAATAGTGATAAAAGACTATTCAAACTTGCACTTGCAAGTTTGCATTTGAATATTTTTTCTATGGAAATGTGCGGAGAGGGCATCTCTCTTGGAGCATGACCAAGAGACAAGGCCTCAAGTCTCAACTGTCAAATTTGACTTTCCTTATTTCGAACAAGCTTTTCCCTAAAGTCTGGCATCCAGCACAGCAACACATATGACCTTCCTTATGTTGCTTTTGATGCTTCCAAACAACACAGTGACACATTTGACTTTCCTTGTTGCATTTGACATTCTTATGTCCATACAGTGGAACCTCGCTTAACGAGCATAATTTGTTCCCGAATCTTACTCGTAATGCAAAACACTCATTGAGCAAATCACCCTGTTTGACTGTATATTCATATACAGTCAAACCTCGCTTAACGAGCACCTCCCATAACGAGTGTTTCGCATTACGAGTAAGATTTGGGAACAAATTATGCTCGTTAAGCGAGGTTCCACTGTATTTGTCTTAGAAAAGCTATATGAACAGTACAGTATGTCAAATGATAGTTAACTCAAACCATTTCAGCAAGTTGCATCCTTTCTCTGCTTCTCTTAATGCACAGCAATATATAGAGTGTCCCAGCTAAAGTTTGTCCACTTGATGTTGACATAATTGATATACTCACAATGGTAGATAGTTCTTGGCATATGTGCATCATGTCAGGTGTTGGAAGTGACAGTTACTGCATGGGCTTAACTGATTTTTCCAGCATTTATTGTGAGTTAAAAGGTTTTTGCAGTATGAAGGTCCACAATTAGAGAGCTAGCATTAATAATAATACAGAGTAAGCTGTACATGGTGTTCAAAATTCTCTTTACAACTTGCAAGTCATATTGTTTCAGATCTAATAATGATAAGTTGAAACCAAAACAAAAATATGAAGAAATAAGTTTTACCCTTGAAGTTCAGAATGTTCTGAATGTTCTGAATGTTGAAGTTCAGCATGTGATGCAATAAACATCTCAGCAATATTTGATTTTTATGTTGCATTCCCTCCAGCATATCTTTTTCCACAATGAACACTCCCACTATGATCTGATTTTTTTATTTATGCAATGCTGATTGGCAGGGAAGGTTGGTACACATTGTCTCACAAAGTGTACAAGCCTCCTCACAAACAGAAATGCAGATAGGGGAGATCTGGTGATCATGGAGGCCAAGTGAATCGACCTCCATGGCTGATCTAATCTCCTAGGAATATTTGATCCAAGAAACATCTCACCACATGATGAAAATGTGCAGGAATGCCATCTTGCTGAAAGACAATGTTATCCCCCATATTCTCATCCGTTTGTGATACTAGAATTTCTTGAGCATGTCCAGGTTTACTTGAATAGCAGCACATGCTTCCTGAGCTCCCGTGAAATCTGCCATTTTTGTTGAATGACTCAAGCACCACCAGCAGAATGAATGTAGCCATGATATTCAGGTGGCACAAAACTTGAAGTGTTCCTGCATAATTTGGTATTGGTTTCACTTTTTTGTCTTTAGTTTTGAAGTACTAAGACTTGCAAGTTGTAAAGAGATTTTGTGAACACCCTGTATATAACTGTACTGGCCAATGTGATAATTAAATTTAATTCTCTCCTAAAATTTGAAACAGAGAATATAAACAATAAAGATGCAATTTTCTAAGTATTGATGTCACTGTTACTGGTTACCAGACCTTGAGAAGTTTTGGGCACCCTCTTACCCCAGTGCCTTTTGAGATATTAGCTGAGAAAGCAAGTTCTTTCTCCTCACTACATTTGTCTGGGACTGGGAAAAAAGAACTTTTTGGAGAACTTGCTGAATTTACAGACAAGTCATGTGGCTGTTAGTCAAGATGTACAGATCACAGATAAAAGTTACCCAGGTTCTGAGAGTACCCATATATCCAGCAACATCTGTAATGGAAAACGTTGGCTTCTGTAATAGCACATTGTTATCATTATTACTCATAAGTTAATAAATGTTTCTCCCTCTAAATAAAGGGGAATGTTGCAACTGTGGAAGAGCCTCTGGACCTGATTCGTTTGAGTTTGGATGAAAAAATCTATGTGAAGATGAGAAATGATAGAGAGCTTCGAGGTCGCCTCCATGTGAGTTGAAAATGTAATAGCTTTAACTTAAAGGAATTCAGTATTGATTATGTCATGGTCATGGACTTGCAGGCTTATGATCAACATTTGAACATGATTCTTGGGGATGTGGAGGAGACCATCACAACAATTGAGATCGATGAGGAGACATATGAGGAAGTCTACAAAAACACAAAACGAAGTATCCCAATGCTATTTGTTCGAGGTGATGGTGTCATTCTTGTGTCCCCTCCGTTACGTGCTGCAACATGAAGAAATAAAAGCTTACTCCCCATAATGTCCTTTTATTCTGAACTCTTTTCACCTTTGTAATACATATTGAACTCATTTACATTGAAGGTGTGCAAGCATATATGACAGTAGATGTGCAGAGCAGTGGAGTCACTTGCGAGAATTTAAAAAGCGAAGGATGTGGAGAAATAGGTTGATGATATCCAAATACAAATTGATGGTAGCAAGGATATACTCCTCTGGTGACAGTTTGTGCATCATCATCTATTTATTTATTTAAAAAGAAAGGAAAGAAAATGCTCAAGACTTTCTCCAAAATGTGACACAATATTTATCCTATTGGCATACACTGGCATTAAGATTGTCCTCTGTAACTACCAAGAAGCGAAATGACTAAGTTTTTTTCCTGCTTGACATCAACTATGTTAGCCAAAGGGTTTATGAGAAAACAAGCTTAAGAATGGTATAGCACTTAAAGCACTGACGGTAAAGGGCATTTCTGAAACTAATAGATATATAAGGGTTTAGCTTACATGTGTGTCATAGATGATGAAGAGTGAGAAGAGAATGGCACCAGCTGCTGCAATGACTATCTCCATCCCAGGGCTCTGAAGAAATAGCTGAAGCAAGCCAGCTCCCAACAAGACACATAGTCCAGCAAATACACTGAAAAGGCACCATAAACACATGTTTTAGAAGATACAGCTGAAAAGACTGTTTGTGTTATAAGGAAGCCCATATATATACAATAATACAAAACTCACAAAAGCCCAAGCTGTGATAGGTCCTTCTTTGATTGGAGAGTGTAGATTGTGAGTGCAATAGACACAATCAGAGTGAGGAAAAATGCCTGCAGTACGATCACAATGTCAAAGAAGCTTATGACAACTCCAATTGTATAGGCTTCAACCACCGTCTGAAACAAAATCTCTCTTCACAGGGAATGCCTACACCCTTTTCCTGTCTCTCTTGGAGAGACCTGCTTATCAAAATACTCTATTGACTATGTGACCCAATCTAGGAAGTGGGACAAAATGTCAGAAAATATTTTTAAGAAAATAAATATGGCAATGTTGACAATGCTTATTTAATAGGTGGGATTACCATTTTACTACTTGAGCTGTACCTTAAACTCATAAAAGAAAAGCCATTATAAAGAAAACCACACATTTTATTGAACTACCCATTAAGGAGATACAGGGAAAGCAAAATGGAACTGTTGGTGTCATGTAGTCAATTGGAGGAAAGAAGAGTGTAGTGTGTGCAGGTGTCAAAATAGCTTTCCACTCCCTTTCTTCTTTCATCAACCTTATGAAGTCATCAGTTTAATTTCCTCTGCCTGTATCTTCTTGACCCATCAAGCATGTAATTTTCTGAGCAAGGTGGAATCCACAAGGAATAAATATTAACACTTTCACTGCCAAGCCATTATTTGGAGGCCGTTCCCCTGAGGCCAAAGTAATCCTCCTAATTCTGGTGTGCATGACACAAGCGATTCTGTGAAAGGTGGGGATCCACTGGAGATGATGGACGCATGGGGCAGCAATCGACAAGCCGTAATGACGAAACTGAGCTGGTCCACAATGACTGTCGGCAATCAAACGGTACCTATGTCGTACCGTTGAATTTCTAACCAATCTTGGAGTGCCATTGCTCCCACATTCTTTGTATTCCTTGGACCTCGAACCTTACGACTTCAGGCTGATTCTCAATGACTGCCGGCAATCAAACGGTACCTATGTCGTACCGTTGAATTTCTAACCAATCTTGGAGTGCCATTGCTCCCACATTCTTTGTATTCCTTGGACCTCGAACCTTACGACTTCAGGCTGATTCCAAAAATGAGGTGCCTTCGATGAATGGCTGCCGCTTCGATGACATAGGCGCTTGCCAATCAACTTGCGACCAACGCGTTGGACAAATTTGCCAAGAAAGGATTACAGTCTGTTCTAAGCTCTTTACAAACGAAAGGAAATGTGTGTTGCAAGTCAGGTTGAACTAGAGGGTTGACTGCAAAAAATTAAGCAACTTGAACATTTTTTTAAACAGATAAATTCTTCAGCGAAAATGTAAGGATACCTTGTTGAGGTTCTTCAAGAGCTGTTGAAGAACAGTATATGCACCCTTGCCCATCTACTCTTGAGTCATGACAGATTTAATCGAATTGGGCAAATTTTCTGAGTGAACAGGCATGTGACTGCCAATGGGGAGGTACGAATCTGCATTTGATTTTTGCCTAATGGATCAGTTCCTCTGGGACGATCCTCGCGAAAAAATTAATAGAACTTTGTCAAAATCGAATCTGCATTTGATTTTTGCCTAATGGATCAGTTCCTCTGGGATGATCCTCGCGAAAAAATTAATAGAACTTTGTCAAAAATGTGTACTCATCCATAAAAAGTTCATGCATCTGCATGCATTTTCCGGGATCCTCATGCAATTTGGATTCGTGCCTCGCAATGGCAGTCGCATGCCCTTTCTTTGCCATCTCAACAAAATATGCCATAACTCATGAATGGGTATCCATAAATTCATATAATTTCAAGAGCTCTAGGAAAACATTGTAGCCAACTAGTTCCTCTAGGATGATCCTCGCGAAAAAATTATTAGATTAATTTTGTCAAAAATGTGCACTCATCCATAAAAAGTTCATGCATCTGCATACATTTTCCGGGATCCTCATACAATTTGGATTCGTGCCTCGCAATGACAGTCGCATGCCCTTTCTTTGCCATCTCAACAAAAAATGCCATAATTCATGAATGGGTATCCATAAATTCATATATTTTCAAGAGCTCTAGGAAAACATTGTAGCCAACGTTCCATTAAATTTTCAGACTAATCAATTACAAGGTATGAATTCTATAGAAAACTTTCAAGTTGCATTCTTTTCTTGTCATCCATACATTCCAAAAGGGATCATTCTGAAACAGAGCGTCTGCACATACTGTAGTTTGCTCATATGAAAACAGGTTCTGGACCTTTTTGATATGTCCACGTACATACGTGGACATATCAAAAAGGACATATCTATATATAAAGACTCCCGTAATATGCCCTATACGCAGAAATGAGGAAGAAGTAATTTCCACTTTACCCTTATACGGAGATATGCTTATATTGAATACATTGTAAAAAAGAAATGAGAAATGAAACACCATCAATTTGATTTAAAACTGACCTCATCAGAAGGCGACGATAAAATTTGTAAGATGAAAGGAAGAGGTCAATAGATCGTATCACGTAAAGCAATGCAAACCACCCGTCGGCAGGTCGTATGATCTGGTAGAAAGGACCTGTACGACCCGCTGGCGGCTCGTATGACCCAGGAGATGAGAGAACGTACAACCCGCCGGCGGGTCATATGGCAGCAAAAGTGTTAAAGAACCACAGAAATAGCTGGGGATCTACTGTACTTTATGTAAAACTGAACATGAACTCTCTTTATTTTTCCTTAATATGTAAATATATAGTACAGAACATACTCACTCCAAAATGAAATGCATAGTTGAAATATGATGATATTGTAAGTACATTTCTATGAAATTGCAACATGAACCAATTAATTCAAGTAGGACGAAGTGAACTTAAGTGTTTGACATTTTTCTCTTGAATAGGCACGATTTGTAACCACTTGTGGATAAATTGAAGTTTTACCTAACAACCCAGTAAAATGCATATGGATACCATTCGTTCCATGAAACCCGGTGCAATGTTGCATAATGCTGTTTCCAATGAAAGGGCTAGGTTCTCGTCAATGGGTAGTCGCTAAGTGAGCCTACAAGCACATGGCATGCACTGGTTGAAAGATCTTTCAGTTTTGTGCATGAAGCTCAATTTTCATCAATTTGATTTCATGGTGAAAGCAAGTGATGGCATTCTTAAGAAGAAAATTGACACTCTATAGTCTGAGTCTGAATCAGATATGAACTCTTTGATGGACTGTCAGTTTTCATACCTGCTCTTTCCACCACCATGCAAGTTGTGGACAGTAGTCACACAAATATAATATCCTTCATAAATCTTGATATTCTTTCATATGGTGTCATCGGTTTTTGAATAAAAAGAACTGCTACTGTCAGACCCCTTCTATGGAGTTTCAAAACATACTACTCTAACCATTCCTCAGCTATGCCAGGCAAGGTACCAGGAGAGTAGGGGAAAAAAAAAAGCTTTTTGGGAATGGCAAATACATACCACCTTGACATGGATGCTTGCATTGCTTTCCTATGTAAAGTAGGTATATTTCATTCCAAATCTCATGGCTGGAAGGAACAGTCATACTGCAGACTGCAAACCACTTCCTTTACGGATTGCCATATGCTAGATACAAAGTTTATGTCTGTTCTGTGTCCCATGCAGAGTCCTTGATGTTTAACAATTCAAGCATGCTTGAATTGTTAAACATCAAGGACTCTGCATGGACATTTTTTACCCATGGGACACTACAAAGCACAAAAAGGAAGAGCCTTTTCCTTTTCCCAGCCTCCAGTAGTGCTGTCTAGGTGAAATCTCTACCAAAGCATGGGAACCAATGGCAAGAAAAACCAATGACATGTCATGTTGATCAACTGGCAAATCCAGGCATTTCCCAAACAAGCATAACACCTGCTACAAGTGATGTTGAGTGTGACTTACCTCAGACAAAGAGTAAAACTGTCCAAATACAAAATACTATATACATAAATTCCTTTTGTTTGCCTCTTGTAGGTTTTGTACTTTGGACTACAATCAGATGAGGGTATAAAAGGATCCCAAGTTACTGCTGCATAGCCCAACCTAAGTTTGAGAAAGTAAAAAAAATAATGTCTTAAACTTTTCAAGCTGATAATTTTAAAGGGCAGAAGTATGTCTTATGCAGTAATATTGGATGTCACAGCAATGTTGAATACACAAGAAGGGTTGAAAAAGAATTCATTCCTGAACTGAACTGCATAATCCTTTCTGTGGAGGACTTCACTTTCCCTTTCTCCAATGATAAAACTTCAATTTTGACACTGCTCCATTTGTCACTTCTCCTAGATTCGGGTCACACATTGAACTTACGAACACAGCCAGGAGAAAGAAGTTATGGGGAGTATCATGGCGTTTGATGAAAAGGGCCACAAGAGTCACCAAAGACATGAACATCCCAAACACCAAAAGTCCATCACTAAATTGCAAAATGAGCATTCAACATAATCATAGACAACTATTTCAGGCCTATTATGCTTATTACTGTGGTTACATTCAGAGGCAAGTCAAGTTTAGGGATAAGATATTTTAAGTCATAATGCAGTGCACTTCATCTACACCAGTGAGCAGATTTGAATTTTAAAGGTAGGCCTGTTCCGAGGAATGGAAAGAAGGTGTGGTGTAACAGTCACCTGCCAGCACCACCAACAGTGGTGCTGGCAGACAGACTTATGCCGGGTTTGCCTCTGAAAACCTTTCTAACTTAATTTCAAAGCTTCAACACCTAACAGCAAAAACAGTCTGGATTGGGTGTCGTGTCTAGCTTGCAGCCTCAACCACCTGATGATGCAGGCTGCATGACAATTTCTGGGATTTCTTTTCACTGTCCTTCCTCTTTTAGCTTTTTTCAGCCCTACCCTTCTATGCAGGTTAACTTCCCATAGTTTGGACATATGCTCTGTCAGGTTTGGTTCGGGAGCAGGGTTTTTTCCCCCAATGCCTAGATAGGTTTTGGTGGGACTGGCACCACAGTTAATTCCCAATTTACAATATATATACCCTGTATGTATATATATATATGTCGTATGCAAGTTGACCTCTCCGTGCAAGTTGAACTTGCATAAAATATACAGTGCAACTTGAGCCTGTCTGATTTTCCCAATGCATGTTAACTTGCATGCATTTTTTCTTATGCAAGTTAACCCACATGATGGACTTTAGTGCAAGTTCAGGAGGAATAACTAAACTCCTAAGGATATACAGTTAGACAGTTTTTATCGAGAATACAGGTAGTGCACCTGGCCTTGGGGAAATGATAAGGGGGGGGGGGGATGCCTTCATCCTTTCACTTTCACTGACAGCCTTATTCTCTCACCTTGTTCAGTGCGATACAAGTGAGTGAACGTTCTCGTTTCTTCAACAGCTCTAGTGGTATTCATATGATTGATCTGCCTTCAAATCCAAGATAATGGACATGAAAGCCCAGTTTAATGATTATCTGCTGGAGCTCTAGGAGAAGACCAAGTCTCCCAACAACCCAGTGTTCCCGATAGATAGGTACGAGAGGCTCGTCATGGAAGTCAAGGCTGCAAAGATCAATGAGAATAACCGGCTGGAGCACGGAAAGACCATCCTCAAGCATCTCTTCATCCCCCGAAGACTAGGACATCCTAGTGCTTGTGCGGAAGGTGAATAATCAGTGGCGTATTTTGGCTGAAGGGTCCGGGGGGGGGGGGGAACAGAATGGAGGCGCCAAACCCATCCGAGCGATATCAGGGGAGAAAATTATTACCTCGAGGAGGACACCAAGGGGGGCAGCTGCCCCCCCCCCCCGTAAAATACGCCACTGCGAACGATGCATCTAAAAAAAAAGGCGCAAGTGTGTAGCCAATAACACCCAGGGAAAGTCTCAATGCCACGGGTTATACTGTACAGGTAGATGTGTTTCAACAAATGAATGGAAATCAAAAAGGTGTGCAAAAAGGTGTGAAAGGCTTGAATGTAAGCCATGACAAAGTTGTTGCAGATTCTTCAATTATGGACAATTTGACATCATGAAGTAGTTTCTTCACTTTATTCATAGGGGTGACTAATTAATTCATTTCATGGTGTTTGACATGCTGGCTCAAAAATAACGCAAGTGCCAGTAGCCGAAGGCATTCGATCATTATTTCGGCCGAGATGAAGTGCTTCTCTGAACTTGCACAAAAATGTGCAACCCAGGTTAACATGAACAAGGGTTTGCCCATGCAGGTTCAACCTGCACACCGTGATGAACTGTTCAAGTTAACCCTAGGTGATTAGGCCGTGCAAGTTAACTTGCACAATGAATTACTGTGCAAGTTTAACTTACACGGTAGAGTCAACTTGCATGCGACATATGTATAACGTGCCATCTCCAAAGACATCGAGGAGATCAACCAGATCATCAGTTCCTGCAACCTCGTAGACTGAGATCT